AACCGAGAGGGCATGCGGTTGATGATGTATGTAGCATACAAGACTGCATCCATCCAAAAACGTTTTGGCACATTCATATGAATTAATAAGCCACGAGCTACTTCAAGAAAGTGATAGTTCTTTTGTTCAACAACACCATTTTGTTGGGGTGTCCTAGCACAAGAGCTTCGCTGAAATGACCTACTCGAAGCAAAAAACTCCATGAGATCACTATGGAAGTATTCCTTCGCATTGTCCGACTGAAAGATATGGATTTCCGTTTGGAACTAAGTGAACACCATGCGTTGAAAGTCTTTCACAATTTTTGGCACTTCATCTCGAGATCGCATAGGGTAAACCCAGGTGTATCTAGAATAATCATCAATCAAGGAAATGAAGTACTTATATCCAGCCTCATGGGTAGAGTAACAGGGCCCCAAACATCAGAATAAACAATATGAAATGGAAATTCAAATCTTTTATTTCGCAAAGGTAAAGAACTTCTACAATGTTTACTCAATTGACATGTTTGACACTGTAACTGACTCACTGACAAGGACTCAAACAACTTTGGAAACATAACTTTTAATGACTCAAAAGAAAGATGACCTAGTCGACTATGCCATAAATAGGCTTGATTCTCACTTGACAAACTCATGGACTCTGTAGCCACAAGACCAGCTTTATTATCCAACACGTAGAGACCATCCACCATGCTTCCTCTACCAATCGTCTTCCCCAAGGCCAAATCCTGAAACACACATGAAAACGGAAAAAAAAAGTGACTAAACAATTCAAGGAGTGAATTGTACTACTAATGGACAGCAAATTAATAGGTAATTTCGGAACATGCAGTACATTAKGAAGGGTAAGGCCAAGTGGGAGAGGTATGGTACCTCGGCCAGCTATGATAGAAAAAGAACCATCAGCTAGTCTCACCTTATCTCTCCCAGAGAGAAGGTTATATGTCTGAAATAAATTTGACTTACCGGTCATGTGGTTTGAGGCTCTGGAGTCAATAACCCAAGGAAAATCAGTGGTATGAGATGACACATGGAAGGCAGTGGCAGCATTACCTGATGTAGACGCAAAAGAGGTARAGGGAKTAGGACCAGAATCTATCTGGCGAAGAGTCCTACCATACAATTCCAAATGTTCACGAAAGGAGTTGATAATTTCTTCCTTAGGGTCAGAACTGGGATGCCTCTCCTAAGTTACCAAAGGACTAGTCTCTGTCGATGCCATATTAGCTGAGTTATACTTTTCCTGATTCTGCTGGCTTGGTTTCTTGCCCTGATCAGATGTTGACTTCTTACCCAAATYCTGTGCCCATTTAGGTTTTCCATGGAGATCCCAACATGTATCTCTCGTGTGTCGTGTCTTCTGGCAGTGAGTGCACCAAGGTTTACTTTTATCATCTGTTTTTTTCTGAGTCACCTTTTTTAAAAACACCTCCGACATTTGTATCTGAATTTCCCCGGACAGCTAGGGCAACTKACTCCCCTTCTACACAATTCATCACACTTCTACTCTCTTCTGACTGCACTAAGGCATACACCTCGTGAATTGATGGCAAGTCTTTACTACCCAAGATCTGCACCCTGATGGACTCATATGAAGGATTCAACCCTAGGAGAAAGGCAAAGACCTGTTGCTGAGATACAAGTGAATTATACGCCTTTGCATCTTCATCACACTTCCAATTCACATTCTGATAGTGATCAAGTTCTTTCCATATCGATGTCAAATCAGAATA